AATGCATCTAATCCCTGCTTGCTTCTCATATTCTTTTATTCACAAATGCAGAATTTGTATTTACCACTTCCAGAATATGTCAAGCATTTACAGCCTCAGAACACCAATGGAAAGTTGCTAGGGGTCAGAATGGACTCACAGGCAATGGGTCTAAGTTTAGGAGGTGCTTAAGAAGTACTTGCAATATCTTAACACAAATCAAGACAACCATTGCTTTTAAATTGCAATCTTTATTGCCTCCCAAATTTGTGTCATCAAAAAACCTAAACCATCTATAGAGTGACTATTTACTATATACACACATTTGTTCCTTTAGTTCATGGAGCATTGAAAAGTAGAACATCTGTATATTTCTGACTGCAAGAGTCTTTGTTGAAACACAAATGTTAACCAACTTGTCAGGAAGCTGGCAGAGTTGTTACTCTGGAAAATCGAGAACACTACCCAGAAAACTGCCACTTACAGAGTTTTAGACTTGAAAGTTTTTGTAATCCATCTTAATATGGCCTTGGGTGAGGGTAGAAACTACTGATTTGTTTGACAGAAATGTATACAACAGCATGATCGTCAAATTAAGCACCTGCTCAAATATGACACTGGTAGAAGTTAATCATATCTGAAAATCTGAAATCTAAGAAGATATTAGGAACACAGTGGCAAATAGAGCTAATTATAGCACATGATGTAGATTGTGGGCTAGAAAAGATTTGAAAATACACTACAGTTTGAGGAAGAAACAAAAATACAAATATTTCCCTTTGACTTTAAATGCCCAAAGAACAGTTTAATACTTCTTACTTTTAAAAATGCACTAAATGTTAAAGTGGTATCAATGGTGAAGGTGGCAAAGAAAGCAGATAAATCATGGTTGGGCTTAGGCCAGGGATTCTCAAAGCAGACTCCTTGGATTCTAGTTTTTTGGAAGGGTAATTAAAAATTCTTCCTAAGACTTTTATACACAGATTCAGATAGACACCCACCCACATGCACCCTTACAGGGTTACCCTCTTCCTATGTCAGTTTAGGAATTAAAGTAAATCAGAGGTGAATTTAACTTGGATTATCCCTCAGATGTATTGATTGTATAACAAAAAGTTTGTAAACAATGGATTTATACTCATTTAACTGTGATAGAGTGACTTTAAAAAGCAGTAGACTTATGACTTTTATATTTTATATATAAAATATTTTAAGAATTTATTAGGCATGTTATTGTTTTTTTCTTGACAGTCAAGGTTATGACTGGAATTCTAGTGTTTTATAATGCCATCAGTCTAGGCCAAGTATACTTAAGAACCTACTGTTATTATATTTCATAATAATTTAAAAAATATACATGGTAAGGCAGATATGAAGCACATTTAAATATACTTTCCAACATAATGAAAGAGGCAAATATAAAATAATTGGCATAAGAAAAAATAAAAAACATATTAACATTCTTTAAAAATTGTTAATATGTATATTAATACCACTGCTTGCTAAAACTGAGGAAGACCTGAAGTGCTTGCTGCATAAGGTCAAGGACTACAGCCTCCTATAAGGATGGAAGCTCAACATCAAGAAAACAAAGATTCTCACCACTGGGCCAATTGTTAGCATCAGTATGAATGGTGAAGAGATTGAGATGGTTAACAGTTTTATTTTACTTGGTTCCACAGTCAACACTCTTGGTAACAGCAGCCAGGAAATCAAGAGATGAATTGCATTGGGAAAGTCAGCTGTAAGGGACCTCTCAAGAATACTGAAGAGCAACGATGTCAGGCTAGAGACTAAGGTGCGCCTGATCCGGGATATAGTCTTTGCAGTTACGTGCTATGCATCAGAGAGTTGGACAGTGACTAGGGATGATAAAAAGAGAACTGATGCCTTTGAGCTGTGGTGCTGGAGAATAGTGGTGAATATACCATGGACTGCTAGGAGAACAAACAGGTTTGTTCTGGAGAAGGTGAAGCCAAAATGCTCCTTGGAGTCAAGTAGTCTGAAGCTTCGTCTCACATACTTTGGGCATGTTGTAAGGAGGAACTGGTCCTTGGAGAGGGACATTATGTTTGGCAGAGTGGAGGGGTGGCAAAGGAGAGGAAGACCTTCCATGAGATGGATCGATTCTGTAACTGGAGTGGTGGGAATGAGTGTGTTTAAGATGTCTAGGTTGGCACAGGATAGAACGGCGTTTAGGGCTCTTATACATAGGGTCGCTGTGAGTCGCTATGAGTCGCAAGCGACTCAATGGCATATAACAACATGTATATTAATGTGCAAATGTGGAGGTGTACTAAATTCCAGATAGTTGTTATGTGCTCTTTAGTCAGAACCCACCCGTTGCTGACCCTCCAGAAGGTTTTCAGAGGCAGTAAATTGCAAGGGAGTTGATTGCCCATCTTTCATGAAACAGCTGGTGGTTTCCAACCTAACTTCTTGGCAGTGCAGCTCTTTATCACTGGGACACCAGAGCTCCAAATTCCAGGTATCACCATCAATTTAAAGTTTCCCCCCACAAAATAAAATCATGTTGTCCTGATTTTGTAGTTCAAAATCCAGATTTTCTGACTTTCTTCCCCAGTGAGTCAATTCTGATTTTCTTCTATTTGAATTTTAATTAAAACTTTTTCTTTTTCCTGAAACACATCAAAACAATTCAGAGGCAGAAGTAAAAAGATCCATTTCAAAACTATTTATTTTGTTAAATTTTGACAAGTAAAAACCTGGTAACAGAAATTAGATTTAGAGATTATTTTCCAAGACATTTAAAGCATTAAAGACATTCAAGACATTAATAAAAATGTGGAATTGTTTAACATTTTTAAGCTAATTGTACATGATATTTCAATAGGATAATTCATTAATCCAATCTTCTAAATAATCCCAAAGTGGCATGAATTCCTCTGCAGAATGAATGTCTGGAGAGAGTAATCCCTGGAAGACAGACAAGCCCCTTGTCATTTGTAGCCTTAATCCATTGCCTAGGGCAGGAAAGTGCTCAAGATAACAAATGTGGGAATCACTAAAATCAACATTATTTTTGGATTTTATTTTCTTAACAATACAGACTGGTCAATAGGCATTGGAAACTGACAAGTACAATATGGTCAGTTTGATGAATCAATCTACTGAAGGAGAAAATTTTCCCCTCCCTTTCCCCCATTCTTCTCACTTTAAATCCTCTTGTTCTCTCCTCCTCCACCAACACATACACACACACACACACACACACACAGAGAGAGAGAGAGAGAGAGAGAGAGAGAGAGAAGAGTAGGAAGAGAGAGAGCAGCTCTTTCTCTATTGGTCTGTTCTGTGCACATTAAGTAATGAAAACTATAGTGGCAGAGCTTAAACCATTCTTTATAAAAATGCTAAGCCACTTTCAAGAAGTGTTTATGTTTTCAATTGAAAGCCTCAACTCGGCTGGTCTTCCCCTTTCACCTAAAGAAAGCTCTGTATTATTGAAGTGGAATTCTCCTTCCTTGTTTAAGTGTGTGTTGGTGGGGGGTGGGGGCCAGTGTTGTAGGCTCAGCAAGGTGGGGAGAGGACAGAGAGGGAAGAAAGAACGCAAAGCTATTTCTGGTCAACTTCTGTAACCCTTCCACCCCCACCCCCATACTATTACTGATATCAGGTACCGGGGACAACGGACAGGACAAAATGAGGAAATTGAAACACCTCACACTACATGCCTTGCAGGAAAGGATAACTAATAGTGTTTGTAGGGCTGTGTGTTTGCCTATGTGTCCCACCGAAAATTTAGTGACCCTGAGAGAGAATCTTTTTACACTGGTCCTTGGCACTCACCAGCAACTTTCATGGACCTGGTCATCTTCCTCTACTTTATAAACCCACACTAGAAAAGCATCTTAATTAAGGAGATAGGCGTTAAAAATGTTAGCCAGAACATTCCAGGAGCTGGAAAATCGTAGATGTTTTTAAATTCTGAGTATCCTTTTGAGAATCCCTCGTTGTAATTTATAATTCTCAGCGGACCTATATTTGTCTCGAACTGATTGTTGAAATGGGCTTTACTAGGAATTTCTTCATGGAAATTGATGCAGGGCAGGGGAGGGGGCGGGGACAAGGGGTTTGGTGGGAGGAGGGAATACTCTTAAGGCTTTCAAACCTTCAGTGGTTAAAGTTATAAGGATGAAAAGGATACAGACACACACACGAGAATGCACAAGTTCAGTAGGATTATACAATAAGCATGCATTGGAAATTATGTAGGTAACAGAATTCAGATTTTTGTCCCCCCCCGCATCAAAATTGCACCCCAAAAATGGCTATAAAACAGTGTTTGCCCGGGGAAGTAAATTTATAGCTCCCTGCCTTTCACAAGCACGCTGGAGGGTTCTGCTCCCGGCTCTAAGCTCGGCGAGATGTTTTTTGCATGTGTTGTGTGACAGGAGGGAAGGGGAGTGCGTTGAGCTCTTGAGCTCGTCTGTTCTCCCATTGTCAGCCAGTCTAGTGAGTGTTGGGAAAACCTGTCTGTGGGATCTTGTGTCATCTCGCCCTAAATGTGTACAGGAAAAGTCCGCGCTGCTCACGCTTCCTCTTTCTCTCTCTCTCTCTTTCTTTCTCTCTCTCTCTCCCTCTTTCTCTGTTTCCCTTTCATTCTGCTTCCCCGGAGCCGAAAGAAGCAGAGCCCAGGATTAGAGTCCGCCACCGGCTATCAGAGGAGCTTAGATAAAAGGAACTGCTTCTTAAGCACCACTGCAGCCGCTCTTGTTAATTTTTTTCCCCTCCTCTTTCCACACAACAGTTGTGCCTCATTATCCAGTGCCTGCCTCGATTTTTTTTTCTTGAGGGTTTGAAGTTTCCCTGCTTCAGTGGCTATTACAGAAGAAGAGGTGTTGGTGTTGCTATGAGGTCTTGATTATCTGCATTTATGAATGAAACTGACCTAAATCACCTGTTACCTCCAGTTTCCAGATTGTTTGAACTTCTCTGGCTGCACAATACCGGAGGAAGGACTGAAGCTGAAGCGGCACGGGGCTCTCCAGCGTCCACATCATGGGCTGGTTTACTGGGATTGTCTGTCTTTTCTGGGGAGTGTTACTTACAGCAAGAGGAAACTATGAAACCTCGAAGAGCAATGTGCCAAGGCTGAAATTATCCTACAAAGGTAAATCTTTGTTTTCTTTTGCGTTTATTTGGCTAGCTTGCTAATCCTTCCCCTATCCCCTTTCATACCTTGCACTCCCTCCCCAATCCAGACCATCAAATCTTTAGTTTAACCTGGGAAATGTATGTGGTCCGGAGAATCATCTGCGATGATTGAAACTCTTTCTTATGAAAGCATGCGTCCTGTTAGATATCTGACAATTTAAGTGCAAACAAAGAACATTTAATCACATTTGCAGAGCAGAACTGCATGCCCAGTGCAGTGATCCGGCTAAGTGCTCCTATCTTATGTTAATTTAGCTGACTTGACTTATATTAATATATTTCCAAAACATTAATGCAGAAACCCTCTTATTGTGGATGTGCATATCTCACCTACAATGATTATCGTGACAAATTGTCTTTTTTTTTTTTTAGTTTTAGACATTAAATGGTTAATTATCATCATGAATATTCAGTTTGTTCAAATCTGACAATCAGATGCTTAACATAAGCAGAAGATCATGGTTTGCCAAGAGAATATAAACTGGAGAGAACAGACTAGTTTTTCTACAGTGTGTTATGATTATACAAAAGACAGTATATTTGGCTAATTGGTGTAAAGCTGAAACCTTTGAAATAAAATGTTATTTAATTCCATATGTACTATAGTGAGAACTGAAGAGACATTAGTTGCAAAGCTGGTGGTGTATGAACTTCCTTTCAAAAAGGAAAAAAAGAAAAGAAGGGGAAAAAAGCCTTATCACAAGCATGCTAATACTTCATTTGTTTAAACTTTAAAGTGCATGCTTGTATTTTAAAGAGAATTTTTAAGAAAATGTTTCTTTTCCACGTGTTTAGATGGGCTTTTGTAGATTCATGCATAAGATAATAACTCAGATTCAAAATGACACATATTACTTTCAATGGCAGCGATTATTTATAAAACGCAAATGTTATTAACATGAAATTGAAGATTAAACTGTTTTAACTGTAGTAGTTTTATTCCCTAAGGTGTTGATTTCTTATGAGTCTCAGATTTCTAGGTTTGGGGGTGGGGCAATGGACAGCTTCCAATTATGTTCCATCTTTAGCTATATTATGGAAAAAAAAAGAAACACCACTGAATCGTTCTGTGGAGATGTCTGTCTACTGTACTTTGCTCATATGCCAGAAAATATTTAATTTTCACATAATGGGAAACACGTCTTTCTGAGGCTCCAGTGTAAATGAGGAACTCAAATGGAGAAAAGAGATGGAATTTTCACACTTTGAATTAGAAAATTAAACACCTATTAAATGTGCCTGTTTAGACTTAACCTTGTTAGGTAAAAATATACTGAATTGGAAAGTACATACATCTATTGCTTTAATATTTTTTGAGTATTACATTGAGAATGGATTATATAAATCATCAAGACAAATGATCATTTTGCTCATTAATGCAAGATGGTTTGAAAAAATAATCTCCATCTTACAGCATTCTTTAAATGCTCAGTTAAATCTATATTTTTATTTAATAACTGTCTTTAAATTCTTTCTGTAATATATGATATATGGTATGTGTGTTTTTGTCAGTGTTTGCTTCCTATTATTACTCTTGAAGGGGAGCCATCACTTTATTGTTGGGTTGGTGATTCACAATATCCAAGTTTATGCTCTCTATGAGTAAGTTTCACATGTAACTTTAGTTCTTGAAGATGTGAATGTGTCTGTGGCATCCTTTTAGAATAACAAGATTGAGATAATGAAATGAGATTTAAAAAACTACTATTTGCAAATAATTGCCTAAGAGCTAAATGTGAATAAAATAAAATGTGAGAACCATGCATTCCTTCATATTTAAAAAAATATTTCTACTATAATAGATTACTCACTAATAGTGAGGCATTGATTTTGTATCTGACAGAGAGTCATTTAATTAGAATATAGCTTTTTTTTGGAATATAGCTTTTTAATGTATACATACTATAAAGTTAAAGAAAATGATATATATTAGCAATCTATATATACAAACACATACATAAAAACATTATCCTCATAGATTGTATGCTTAAACATTATTATGCTTACATTAAGTTAGAAACTCCCTGCAGCTACATAACAATTCTACTGATGATACACCTACACTTCAGCAATTTGGTAAAACAAACTGTGAAATGAACAACAGCAGGAAGAATAAAAAGAATAGGTCAAGCAATTTTTCTCTGTCATTTTATTGGCCTGTCATGATGTTTTTGTCTTACATGTACACTTGTTTTACCCAAGCAAACATCTCTTCACAGGTTGTTAGTACTTCGTTTCTTAACTATAATAGAGATTTAAAAATAAATAAATAAGTAAACTACTTCCATTGCTCTCTAACTAGATGTCAAACATAGTTAAAACATCCACTCTTTTGCCCCGAATAATGTTCTAGCATGATTCATGAAGAGTTAAATTCCTGCCAACCCTAATTTCCCATGGTCACTTGTTTTCAAAGATCCACCATTAACTCTCTCATTGCTCAGGTTGCCAAGACAAAGTTTCAGGCGATGACTGTGCTTACTCTTTACTTGTCATCTTGCCTGGTGGGAGATAAAAGGGATTTGATATGTTAAATGAGAAAGAAAAAGAAGACAAGAAAGCAGTCTTTGTAGTAGATGTACATACATATCCAATAAGGTACCTCTTCACTTTCTAGGAAAGAGGAATTGAATAGATGCGTTCAGGACCATCTGGAGAAGTGATAATATTAGAAAAGTGGGGTGTGCTGGCTTTCCCTCTGAACCAGCCTGATTTAGAATCCTTGTGGGGGAAGCAAATGTGAGAACTCTGCAAATCTCAGCAGTCACAGACAAATTATCTTCAAGAAATGTTCACTCAGAGATAGTTTTGCCTTCCTTAAATATATGTAATACAGCTAAATGATAAGATGCTTTCCAAAAAAATGGATGCACTTCTCCTACATTTACTTATTCTACAAAACTAATCAAATTTCCCTTTGGAGTAACAAAAAAATCATATAATCTTCCATTTGGAATGTATGATGCAATAAAGTCTTTAGAAAAATCTATGGAAATAATGAATGAATATATTGGGTTTTCAGTTTTAAATAAATGACAAATGTTCTATCGCTCAATAAGTTTTTCCAGGCCATTGCCTGGAATACTTCAATTTTTAGGAGAAATCAAAGACACAGGAAATTATCAATGTGATCATGTGAACCCAGAGGTTAAATAAATGACTTTATACATACCTTCATACGGAAGACTTTCTAGCAAATTGAACTTAAATAAATACAAACATTTTAAGGGATTTTCTTTTACTTTTCTTAAAAAGTTACCCTAAATCAAATTAATTATTTTAATAATTAAGCCATACATTCTGATTCACATTTTCTGAAACTAGAAAATAATATTTTCTAGAAATTTTGAGGTAAAATTCCTCAGGCATTTGTTTTTGTCTTTTTTTCAATGTTGTGAACATTTAAAAAGTTAATGAATATAAATAATTATTTACTAATTAAACTTCTTGACTTGCTTTCAGAGATATTATTTATATCTTCCAAAGCAGAAATACATATGTGTATGCATATATAATCATATATATGATTGTATACATCTAAGTGAAATATTTATATAAATATATATAACCATGATAAATATTTTATAGTTGAGAAGAGTAATCTCACGCATATATAGTTAATGATTTACAATACAATTCTATAGATATAAGATTACTTTTGAATCAAAGTAACATTCTTCTTATAGGTAAAACAGAAGAGATAAGATACAGTAAGCTTGATCTTTTGAATTCCAAGAAGTTTCATTGTATATCTAAAGTTTTCATAAAATAGTTTGGGTGGAATGTGTCCTATACTGAAAATCATTTCACCCTTAAAAGCCAATATTTTTTGGAAAATAACCCAAAACTCATAGAGCACAGAATATAATTACACATGCTTTACAATGTGTTGGGTTTATTTTCCCTTCAGTATAGTTGCTACATCCCTGATAGGAGGTCTCTGACTTAGTATGCTTGTTTGTTCTCAAATTCTGTTAACTTTAAAAAATGTATTTCCAAAATATTGCATTTAATCACAAAGATACTTTTTATTTATCCATTCAACAAGTATGCACTGGCAAAATAATAAAATAAAGCAGTCACACATCTTGTGCTCCAGATCTAGTGAAATCAGAAGTAGACTAATGAAAGTCTTCATCTTTGTGGCTTCTCTGCTTAAAGCTGCCAACAAGTTTGACCTTTAAAATAATAATTTATACTGTGTAGACTTTACCAAGAAGGAAAACAACTCAGACCACAAAACTATTCAGTGTAAACCACTAGTCCACCAAATTTCTATACTGGTGCTCAGTTCTTACTGTCTTAAACAAAAAAAAAAAGTGTTTTTACTTCTCATATTTTATTTTTTAAGCTGGTTTTCCCCTTTCTATGAATCATTTCCAAAATTCCCCTGCTCCCAGTGATTTGTACTACCTAGATATTTAAACCATTGCCACTGTGTTGATTCTAACACATAGCATGAGAAGAATGGGTATTCTCCTCATGTATAGTTGACTGCCTCTGAAAACCTGTTGGAGAGTCAGCTATGAGTTGGTTCCGACTTAATGGGACACAACAGAGCATACAGTAGGTGGATCTTTTCCATGGGATTACTAAAGCTGTAATCTTTAAGGAAGCAAACTGCCACAGCTTTCTCTTGTGGAGCATCTGGTGGGTTTGAACTGCTGCTGACTTTTTAATTCGTGGGCAAACACTTATAGCCATTGTACTATCAGGGCTCCTAGCTGTTAATCAACTAAATTTGTGTGTCGATCTGTTAGATCTACTTTTTCATTGTTTTTTTATTTTATTCTTGACTCACATAAACAGCATTCTTAGAAAATTGTTGTTGTGTGTCATTAAGTTAGAATTATAGTTGACCCTCTGGTGGGGTTTTAGATGCAGTAAATCACACAGGAGCAGATTGGCCCTCATTTTCCATGGAACACTTGGTGAATGCCATGCGCTTTTGGGGTT